CCCCAGGATCTGGAAGCCTAAAGATGGCAGGCTCTGCCATAGCACTATGACACTACACAACGAAAAGATCTGGCTTATCTTGGCTTATCCAATGTAACACCTCAAGCAAGCTAGGCTATGCCTACTGCCTACGTCCTCTTGCAAGATTGGATGATAAGTTGTCAAGCTGTCACTGTCACGTGAGTCATGTGCCTGAACTGTGCTGCGATTCGGATTCCCAATCATAAAACAGCCGACAAAGTCAGGAAGATATGCTTGCTTGCGGTTTGCAGTTTGGGTTGGCTACATCACAAGTTGTAGGTTTGTAGCTTTCACGACGATTTTGTTCCAAAACGTGCCGCGTTTTCTTGGGAAGGGACGATACTTGTTTGGAGAGGCTGTTGTTCTTGCGCTGACTGATCGATGGAAAAATAATCAAACCCTACTACAACAAATCATTTTCAAGTCCAGGGCTTGGAACCCATGCTCCAAATGCCCTGAACCCTCTTGCGCGTCACGCCCCCCGGGCCTAGATGAATCACTTATAGTTCCATGCCATGAAAATCGCAGCTCCCAGTGAAAACTTTCCAGTGCTTTGTGAAAACCTCTGCAAAACCAAACCATGCAGAATATATATCCAGATAACCATTGCACCTCAGAAAATTCCAGGAATCGCAGGAAAAATTGGCTTGCTCCCAAACTGCAGTCAGTAGCCTGATGATATACATATCGCAGCCCATCACACTGAGCGGCTCCACCACTCAACAGGCAGCTCAGAGGCATAACTTTTCGGCGCCGAGCTGCAAGCCGTCGTAGACGAGTCAGAAGGATGAATTCACATGCAAGTGAGAAGAACCTCAGCCACTTTGGGCAAGGGCGGCCCTACGTCCTGGACTATACAGGTGGCTAGTTACACCCGCCAACCTCAGTCGTTTTCAGACGAGGGGTAGGCCCTACCAAAGACTGTACAGGCGGGGTTCTACCGGAGCCCGGGCAAGCTGCCTCAGAAGCAGACCTCAGCCGAACAGGCGAGGAAAGGACCGAGGGATGCCCGGGGCACTCCCAAGCACCGCTGAGGGTCGAACCTCAGCCGAAAGGCGAGGAAGGAGCCAGAGGTGTGCCTGAGGAGACGAGTGCCGAAGCTCGGAGCCTACGGCACAGGAGGCTGGGCAGCCTTTGCCGCTGCCAGCTCACGCCTTCGCTTGGCCACATAGGCCGTGGTAAGGCGGACGTGCCTGGAGGTCATTGCATGGGCTTCCATCAGTTGTTGATTGGAAGTAGTGACGCCGCATGCAAAACAGCGGAGGAAGTTCTCGCTGAAGACCTGCACGTGAGCCGGCTCTTGACGTGCCTCAGCTGGAGCCGGACCTCTAGCCGGCCGGCGAGGAGACGAGCTTGGAGAGTCCGTAGCTTCGTCGCCCGAGAAATGTGAGGGGTTCGGGAAGCTAGGGCTGCCCCCCTCTGCTCGGCAACCGCTGCGAGGCCATCGAGACCTGGCTCTGCAGGGTCCGGCGGGGCCGTGGAGAGACCCGAAACCTCAGCCAAGGAGGCGAGGGTCTCAAGGGGACCACTTCCGGAGGCAACGCCAGGAGTTGCAGCTGCCGAAGCAGCGGTGGCGATTGTGGCCCCTTTACCCGGGCCACGGGGTGTGGAAGGGGCAGGCTCACCCTTCTTTGACGAGGTGCCAGGAGGGCCTGAGGGAGGGCGGGCGGTAGCCTGTGGCTCGTGGCCCACTGAACCAGAGGCTGCGACCTCAGCCAGAGGCGAGGGCTTGACCCCAGAAGTCTCCGAAGAGCCGGTGGCCTTGGAGGCAGGGGTGCCCTGTTCGGGGAGGCCTGGGAGCGGAGCCTTAGCAAGGGCCGAGGCGGAACCCACGTCCGGCTGCCGAGGAGGGGCGCCGAAAAAGGGGAAGCGACCTCAGCCGAAGGCGAGGAAAGGCTCTTAGGACCTGTCGGAGGACAGGCCTCAGCCCGCCGGAGCGGGCCGAGAGCCGGGTGGGGCTGAGGAGGCAACTCCTGCAGTGACTGAGTGCTCCACCGGTGCGGGAGGCCCACGGTTACGGGGGTGAAAGCTCATCGGAGGACCGGACCCACGTGTGGCCAGGGAAGCAGCACAGGGGAGGGAAACCTCAGCCGGAGGCGAGGAGGTTGCTGGGGGGAGCTCAGGTGCCACCACTCGTTGGGGAACCTCAGCCACCAAGGGCGAGGGCGGCACCGCGAGATGCGGGCTGTCATGAGCCGCGATCTCATGCTCGTCCACGAGCAACCAGCGAACTCCTGGCTGGAGTTGCGATCCTACGGCCCGGTGGGTTCCGAGGAACCCACCGTCCGGCCATATTCTCGCGCTGCGGCAGGTAAAACCCGCCAGTCGCGACGTTTCTCCGAGCAGAAACGAAGTGAGGCGATGCCAATCGCCCTGCCCCCCCCGCCTTGTTTCGATCTCGAGATAGAGCACATCCGGATCTTTGCGCTTCGGCGGGGGGGGCGGGGGGGGTTGGGCTTGGCGACGGGGGGTGGGAGGGGGGGGTTGTCTGCCGGCCTGGTCGCCGCTGCCACCGGGGCAGGCTGCGGGGAGGAGGACGGGGAGGAGTCCGTAGACTCCACCTCCATTGCAACCTCAGCCACAGGGGGCGAGGGGCCGGCAGATCCCGACGACTTACTGGCCGTCGTTCGGTTCGTCACGCGACGTGACCAGGGAAAGGGCTGGTCTTCGTCGTCGTCGACCTCAGCCCTTCGGCGAGGAGCAGGTGGTGGTGCGGGAGGCGGGTTCGCCTGCACCCTCTCGCGGTCCTGCTCCTGGCGCGCTTTGGCCTTAGCGCGAGCGGCCTTATCGGGACGCAGCTTGCGTCTTGACAGGGAGCTCGTGCTGTGCCATATGCCCGTTTGGTCAAAACGGTCCTGCTGTTCGCGGGCGTGGCGACCCTTTCCCTTGGGCGCCATGGTCGCCCTCCTTGAGCCGAAGCTAGCGGAAGAACTGAGTGACCGAAGGGCACGGGGGGGAAGGCTTGGGCTTTGGCTTGGGCCGTGGCTTAGCTTTGGGCTTGGAGGCAGGGGCGCTAGGGAGAGCGAAGCCTGGAGCCTTTAGAGCTGGGGCCTCAAGTGCCAAACCAGGGCTAGCAAGAGCCTGGGCCCGGGGAACCTCCGAAGGAGACCTGGGGCCTTCGAGAGGGGAGGTGGCTTTGGGGTCTGAAACCTCAACCGAAGTGAGGGCAGAAGCAGACGCAGAACCCTGAAGCGAACCCCAAGAACAAGGCACGGGAGGGACCTTAGGGGCAGCGGCAGAGGCAGAAGGAGAAGCCTGGAGCCCAGGGGAAGGGGAACCCTTAGAGAAAAACCCTCCCACCGAAGGAAGCGCACAAGGCGCTACGAGCTTTTTTGGCGCGGCGCCCATACGAAGAGTCACTTGGCCATGACACTGGCCACACTTCCAGGACGGCCCCTGGCGCACAAGGCTGTGCGAGGAGTGGACCGCAATGGGGCACGAAACCGCAGCCGTTCGGCACGGGAAGGAAATGAGGCGCTCGAAGGTTTCCGGCGTGTCAACCTGGTAGATGCAAAGAGAGCACTCGGAGCACTTAACACACATGTTGAAACTCTTCTCCTTAGAGGTGCGAGCCCAAACGTGCCCGCCCGGGAGAGGGGGTTCGTCAAGGAGGGCCTGCAACCTCTGCCTCTTGTTGGGCGAGGGGGAAGCGGAAGACTCAAGAGCGGAGAGGAGGCGGTTCTTCCGCGGCACGAAATCCTCCTTTTCGGCCTTGGCCAAAATTGCAACCGCGCGGTGACCGAGATACTCGCAAACGAGGGAGGTGACTCGGTCTACCTCCTTCTGGGCAGCAAGACGGTGTGGGGTCTGAACCTCCTCCGCGCGGTCCCTGGCGAGCTTGTCCGCAAGAGAGTTGAGCTCATGGCGCCACAGGGCGTCAGCGCCAAACTCAAAACAAAAGTCCGAAGGACTAAGGTGAGAGCGAACCCAGTGGGGGTCGGCTCGGTGCCTGTGGTCCCACGCCTTGGCCCACACAAGCGAGGTGCGCTTCGTGAAGGGCCCCTGCAGGCTGCGCAGGGCGGGCTGGCAGTCGCAAGTGAGGTCAAAAGTGCCACGGGAAGAGAGGAGGAGATGAGCATTGGCGTCGCTCTCGCCCTCCGGCACAGAAGCGGGGGCAGGCAAGAGCCCGGACAGAGTGCCCAGCACGACAAGGTCGCCATCGTTCCTGACAACCACCGCAGCCCAGCCTACCGAGCGGAGGCGGCTATCCTTGGAGGCGGGGCCTCCGGAAGCGTCGGTGGCAACGAGGAGACCGGTAAAGTCCGGGGTGCCTTCGAGGAAGAGACCTGTACGGCGTACCTCAGCCTCGTGGGCGAGGGGCTCGCGGGTGTTAAGGGGGCGCATACCGCGCAACCAAAGGCAGTCGGCAGGATGTCGCCACCCCGCGGGCATGAGGGCGCCGGGGATTTTTTCGCACTCGTAAAGGAGATGGTGCAGGGTGTTGGGGCCGCCACAGAACTTGCACCGTTCCTTCCCTCCGTTGCCCGAATGGAGAAGGGCGCCTTGAAAGACGGCCCTAAGGCCATGCCGCCAGGGCTTCGTCCGAGGACTGGCTAAGAGGCGGCGAGGCACGGTCCAATCGATGCCAAGGGCGGCACCAGCGGCAGTGGAGACGGCGCCGATACGGGACCAGCGCTCGAGCTGAATGACCTGGCGAAGGAAAGCAGAGGCCTCAAAAACCGCTCCCGGCTCGCGGAAGCGGAAGTGAAAGGTAGCCTCGCGGTGTGTCCAGACTTCAGGGGTAGGGGCAGACACCCGCAAGTCCAACAAGTACTGGATGAGCGCGGAAACGGGACCGTTCACGATTTTCCACCCATGGGTGGCGGAGGCCTGTCTGGACCAGGAGGAGGCCCAAGTGCGGGTGAGTAACCGCACGCCTTCGGGTGAGGCGCGGGAGGCAAGACGCCCAAGGGCCTGAAGCTGTTCAACTACCACAAGCTGGTGTGGGTCAACGGCCTTGTGGGACATGAGGTCGAGAATCACGTCGGCGGAGCCGTGCTCAAAACGACCAGCCTCGCGCGCAACCGCCGAGCGTAAGACCTTATAAGGCGCTTAGGGGCAACCCCTACGGCCTGATGGCCATAAAGACCAGCCCTAAGGGCGGAGGCTTGGAGCAGCCGGCCACGAACCCACCTGCGGCGGATGCGGAGGCGGCGCATGTGGCGGACACGGCCGATGCCAGTGCGAAAGCGCTTTTGAGCGGTGGTGATGCGCCGCCGTCGGCCAGCAGCGCAGTCAAGACCTAGGTCCTTAACAAGGTCAGCGGTGTCGGGTTCGCCCGGGCGCCGCAGCTGCTGAAGCGCGGCGCGAGCGCGGACCGTACCGGCTACGAACTTGGTCTTTGTGGTCTCAACCTCTAGGCCCTCAAGGCCGAGGGAGGCATGAAGAACCCGGTAGGCCTGAAGCGCAGAGGAAGCGACCTCGACAGGGTCGGAACCCACCACGTCTAAACTCACGTCGTCCAACCATAAGTCAGTGTTGGTGACGAAGGGAAGGGAAGAAACCTTCTGGAGTGGCTCGGACATGGTAAGTTTGGAAAGCGAGGGTGCGAGAGGGCAGCCCTGGGGTACGCCCCGGCCAGGAAAGAGCGGCGTGGCAGCGATCGAGTCGGCCACGAGACAGCGAGGACCCTGGTAGACCTGGAGGGCGAACCAGAGGTGAAGAGGAGGGAAACTGTGAGCGAGCCCTTGGAGGAGAAGGCGCTCATAGCTCACAGAGTCGAAGAAGCCTCGCAAGTCGAGGAAGAGCGACACTATGTGAGTCTTCTCGAGCTTTGAATGCTCTGATCTGACAAGGCGTGCCAGCGCCGTGTCCAGGCTTGCCTGGCCTGGAACCGCCCGGTCCCACGGGTGGGCGGGGGCGTAAGCCGACGTCCAAGCCGAGATGTCCTGCCACCTAGCTCGTGCCCACAATCTCCACAGACAGGGTAGAAGACTTATGGGGCGCTCCTTGTCGGCCGACTTCGGGAGAAGAGCGACCTGAACGCAGGTGAGCTGGAAAGGCAGAAGCACCTCAGCCTCAGCACGGGCGAGGAAGTCGGCAACGAGCTGAAGAGCCGCCGGGTCCAGTGCACGGAGGGCTGGGTAGCTCCATCCGTCTGGGCCCCCTTTCTTTTTCCCGGCTTTCTTGAGAAGTTTCTGAAGGTGGGGAACAGTCAAGGGAGCCAGGGTGCCAGAATGGGAGACGGCCCTCGAGCGGAGCTCCGCGAGGAGAGGGTGAGCAAAGTGCTGGGGAAAAACCGAGGCATGCCAGACGCGGGCCCAATGCTCATGCCTTTCAAAGACACGGCGGAGTCCATCGCAATCTTGAAAGGGCCGATCAAGCACCTGCTCATGGGACTTGATGGCTCGAAAGAGCGGCCCCAGGTGTGAACCCGAAGCTTCCTCCAGCCACTCACCGTACTGGTCAGCTTGCTGGGCAGTTTGCTCGCGCCGGAGTTGGCCAAGGAGGGCAGTGCCTTCGGCGCGGAGGGTGGCGGAAGAAGCGGAACCGTCGCGCACCCGGTCACAAAAGGCGCGGACCTCCGAGGGGAGGGAAGTGTCCGAAGAGGACCACAAGAAGGACTGCACAGCTTCGGGCCGGTCAAGCAGGTGAAGCACGGCTGACACCAAGGAAGGGAGCTGGCCTTTCCAGGCAAAGGTAACAGAGTGGCCCTGGACGAGGGGCTTGTGAAGAAAGGGGACGAAAGCCCCACGCCCTCGGTCGGGGAACCCGTGAGAGACCTCAAGGAAAGAGCTCAACTCGGCGAAGTCGAGAGTGAGCTTGTCGGTGGATGTGAGGCCAAGAAGGTTAACCTCAGCGATAGGCGAGGGGCTCGGGACCGAGGGTTGAAAAGGCAAGGGGTCAGGAAAGACCTCACAAAAGGTAGCGAGTTGCGGGTAGGGAAGCTGCAGAGAGCTGAGCTGAAGTGTGGCCCGCAGAGCGCAGTGAGGCTTGAAGGGGACGACCCAGTCCTGAGCGACTTGCAGGGAAGCAACAGCCGGAGACGAGACCAGAAAGTAGTCAAGTTCCCGGTCGGTCGCAGCGGTGGGTGAACCGGAGCCCAGGAAACGCCCATGGGAAACTTCCTCAAGCCGAGTGGCGAGGAGATCTTGTATGGGGTTGTTCCAGTCACCGGCAACGATCCACACACCCCGGAGGGAAGGAAGAAAGGCTAAGAGGCGAGCAAGGACATCGGCGTTGACCGGAGAGTTAAAGCCAGTACCGGACTGGAGGTAAATGGAGACCAGGGTCAGTTCGAAACCGGAACACCGAAGCGAAACCGCCAGGAAACCACAACCCTCCACGGTGTGGGTGAGGACATGTCGGGGGTTAAGGAAGGAGCGGATGAGGACACCGAAACCTCCCAGGGGGCGCCTCTTATCACTCAGGAAGGGAGGCGAGGAAAAGAGACGAAACCCTCTTTTAGAGGCGGCAATCGCAGCCTCATGAGCAGCCTCAGAGGTGAGGTGAAGCTCCTGAAGCAGAACCCCATGGCCTTCCAGGGAGAAGGCCCAATCCCGAACCTCTGGCCTCCAGTGAGTAACATTGGCACACAGGAGCCTGAAGGAGGCGGGGCTATAGGGGGTATTGTGTTGCAGCGAGAGGACCTGGGCCATTTGCTTGAGGAGGTGCCACTTTGCGGGGGAAGGCGTGTCATCATGAATGGCATCGAGGGCATGTTCCAAGAACCACTCCTCGGCAGACCCCGGCGAAATAGCATCCTCGACCTTAGAAGCGAACTCAACAAGGTCGCGCTCGACCGAGGAGCCAGGATTCAGGGCCTGGTCGCACATCTCGACCTGGAGCTGGGTGAAAAGGCCCGGCGTCTGAAGCCGGTGGCGACGGTGCTTAGACCGTCTGTCACGCCTGGCACCTCGACGGCTCGATGGGCCGGAGGGCTGGACCAATTTAGGGCACCAGGTCGAGGCAGGGCTGGGATCCGAGGCGAAAGCCTGTGGGAAGTAAACCGGCCCTGTGAGAGGAGAGGGAGGCGCCACCAGGGACTCAAGAGACAGAATCCGGGGCTGCCGTCGAGAAGAGCGTGGAACCTCTACCCACTCAGGGGAGGAGGAGGTAGAGCTGGCCGAGGGGGGAACGAACACCTGAGGGTGAAGGAAAGCTCCCGAACCTTGGCCGTCGAGAGTGAAGTTAAAAACCGAGGAGGAGGCCGATGGCTCCTCAAAGAAAGAGGTGTGCCAGTACCCCTCGCTCGGAAAGAGTTGGGCCACGGGCAGTTGGCCCGACGGCGGAGTGAAAAAGGACCTGCCCGAAACCTCAGGCTCCAAAACAGCTAAGCCGAGGGGAGGAGGTATGCGGGAGGGAACCTGAGGGAGGGAAGGTGCGGGGTCAAGGGCGGGAAAGCCGGGGCCAAAGAGAAACGAGCCCCCGAACCCCTACCATCCTCCTACGAACCAGTCGCCTTGGCAGCGTCAGAGGCCGAGGGCACTCGGGAAGGAGAGCGGCTCCGGGTCTTCGTCGGGGTGGTGAGGCCGACCTGGCGAGCCCCAGGGTTCTCGGTAGAGCCGTCCTGGGCCTCATCGGTAAGATCACCGTTGGCCTGCCCATCACCTGCCGGAGGAGGAGGGGAGCCGAACTTAAGGCCAGGTGTCCGGAGGTGGCTTGATCGAGGCTCGAAGGGCATTGAGGTTGGCCTTTTGGTCCTCCGTGAGGGCCTCGGGAGAGAGCCCCAAGGCTTCGAGCACTAAGTCAACCTCACTCTTAGGGACGTGCAGTAGGACTCCGCGCTCATACGTGTCAGAGCACTTCCTGGCCACATCGGTGGCCTCAGAGATAGCCTCCTGAAGCTCCTGCATGCCGCGGAGAAGGTCATGGAGCTTGGTCTTGGTCTTGTTGATCTCCTCCTGGAGCCTGAGCTTTTCCTGTCCCAACTGCTTGAGCTTCAAGATGGAACGACGGAGAGCATTACCCGACTCGCGACCTTCCTTTAGAGGGTCGGGGGTGGGCTCAGGAGGGGGTGGAGGCAAGGCCTGGCGGATGCACTCCGGGAGCCGCTCCACGTTATCCTGGAGTAAGGCCAGGAGGTCTGGCTCCATATCAGCATCAGAGGTCTGAGGGGCCTCAAAACCAGCATCGCTGAGCTGGGTCCTGGCCTCATCCGGGAGATCGGCCCACACCTTCCGAAGGGACTAGGCATAACTTTTCACACCCCCTTTCGCTGCTGTCCACAACACACGCTTCTCGACACCAAGCACACATTGAAACATTGCCAACCATGTAGCCACGCTGCAACCCATGCGAAGCGACGAAGACATAGGTATTGGAAAAATCTCGCGCCAGATAGCCAGCTCTTCTCTCATGCCAGACAGGACGTCACCCAAAGCGAAGCCCAACAGACTTCTAACAGTGAACATACACATAGGCATCCTTGAGAATACCAGCTCTCACCGCTCATACATGTACCCATGCTCCTTCCGCAATCCCAGCGAGGATTTTACTCCTCCGCCAACTTGCGCTGGAATCCCTTCTGCTTTGAAAAACCAATCCTCATCAAATACCCCGCAAGGTCCGAGGACTGACTGGAGGAGGTCGTCGGATCATAATTGCGACCAAATTTCTCCTTGATCCAATTGAGGTAGCTTGCAAGGTCGCTATCCTCCTTGGCAAGCTTGACCAAGGCCGCATAGGACTTCTTAAACCACATCTTATTCTTCTGGACCTTTGGCAGATCGCAGATTGTCCGACCCCAATCCTCCAAAGATAGATCACTTGGAAGTGGCACCGAGGTGACCTCAGTACCCGCATAGCTCACGACAATCACATTGTCACTCTCCCCAAACTCTTCCCCCTCGAATGCATCGACGAGGTCTTCATAACACTTGGGAGTGCTCACAGCACCCTTTGCGCTTCCCTTTGAAATCGGCAGCTGGGCACCGCAAGCAGATCCTGATGCAGCAGACCCATCCTCTGGATATCCACCCACATCTCTGAGACGCTTGGTCCCATCGGTCATAGAAGTATTGGCAGTCGAAGCCAAGCCATCTGCAGAATCCGTCTTATCCAGCAAACGGCGCAGCTCCCTGCGCTCATCGGTCGTGAGAACCATGGCAGCACGAGTTCGCACCTAGGTTTCACACGCAAAAACAACTAGCACCAGTACCGAGCTTTGTCTGCAGACCTCAACGTCCGCAAAGAAACCGGCGTCAAGAGGAGAATCCGAACCCAGCCAACAGCCCGGCCCAAACCCCCCCCCAAAAGCATCACTGCAACGTTTTGATCGCACCTCGAACAATCGCATCAGCGAGTTTCGGAGTGTAAAAACCTGTTTCGGTCCACCCAACCTGCCACAGATTTGCATGCTTAGCACACCTGCAGCTGGAAAAACACTTCAGGGCAGACACAAACTTTTCAGAAGTCGAAGTAAAACCCAAGACTTTGCCTATAGGCTCACCCCCTTTCGAACAAAGACCAGTCATGCACAACCTCACCGGCACATCGAACGTGTGGCCTGCCTTCTTCAGCACCTTCTGGCACAAGTCATGTTGCCAAATCTCATTGTTCCATGGCAGCTCAAAGCTCGAGTGCTTCCCAAGCTTCAAGTACTTCAACACACAAGGAAACACCTCAAACCATTCCCAATCCGACTTCGACGAGCTCCCGCCAGAGAACCGACGCAAGTAAGATCCAGAAGAGCAAGGCGTGGACACATGCACAAACACGCAGTCACACGCAAAGTTCAGAAGATATCGACGCACCTCTTTGAACACGCTGTCACTCTGCATGTTCTCAGTCACGCCAACGTAACTCATCCCGACTCTGCGACATGCACCTTGAACACTCGACTGCGGTCGACAGCACACTTCAACCATCACCAATCTCTTCTCATGATTGCACAAAGACGCAAGTGGTCCCGACAGCGACTCAAAGCCCAACGCTTCGCGATGTATCCCGAAAGCCGAGGACCCCAAACATTTAGTCAAGAGGTCTGACGGATTTTCGATTCCCTTCTTAAACGCAAGGACCAAAGAACCCGCTGCGACACGAGCTTTAAGCCACTCGACTCTTATCTCAAGATGTCTGCTTTGCCTGGGTGTGTCCAAATTGCGAAGAAGCTTCAAAGCGCTTTCTGAGTCACTGTAAAGTATCCCAGGCAATTCAACTTCCTCGCTTTCTCGAAACGACACGAAGACCCTTGCCATGAACTTTCCAAGACTCGACATTTCTTGAGCAACCGACTGCAACGCAAACAGCTCTGACTCCATAGACGACAGCGACACAAGCTGTTGGTGACGACACAAAGTCTTTATCACGCAGCCATCAAGTGTCAACACTCCTCCACTGATTCCACGGCGCTTCGTGCACCTCAAAGGCGCATGCGATGCGTCAGAGAAACACACAAGGTGCCTCTTTCCTTGGTAGTGTTGCGAGGGAGCCAACACATCACTCGCAGCAGGCAACCGCACAACCACGCACATGTCGTTCTTCAGAAATCGAAGCAAGGCTCGGAGACCATGCTCAGTATGATTCGTGGGTGTGGCTTGCTGCGTTGCCAAGATTGACACATAAGCACGCAAGTCCTGACGAGTCTGCGTCATCCAAGCTACTTTCCCCAACGCAGACCTGAACCTGGCATACGCCTCAGGAGACAATGGAACCCCATCTTGCTTCTCAACATGAACCGCAACATCTGGAGGACTTGAGGAACCTTTTCCCGAAAGACCATAAGCCTTGAAGGTCTCATCCAAATAATCTTCTGGCAAAGACACTGTGATAGAGGACTCCCCCTTTCTCCTGGAGATAACCCTACCAATAAACCGCAAAGTGCCACCGCCATCCTTGGAAGAATTGATCAACCCGGTTCTCTTGAGTTCAACTTTCTTCTCAATCACCTCAAAGATGTGATCTGCATCCTCCTTTGTTGGCGCAATGCACAGAAAATCATCCACATAGACCAACAGCAAACAGGGACCTGACTCAAGCATGCCTGAAAACAGACACGGCTCTAAGCTGCAACTTTGAAGCCCCAAAACCTTCACAGTCTCCCCTACGAAGTAGATCCATTCCTGCGAAGCCTTCCGCAGCCCATTGAGGGCTTTGTTAAGGTGAAGATACAAAGGATCCCCTGAAACCGAAGACACTGACAGAGGAAACCTCATCACCACATCCCTTTCTCTCAAAGGCGTAGCCATGAAAGCGTGAGATACATCAGCACTTGCAATCACGCAATCTCTGCAACCTGCAACCCCAAGAACCGTGAACAAAGCATCGGCACTAGGAGTAGGACTCGAGATGCCCAAAGCCCTTGCAGACTCTGAGTTCTTGCCAGCAATATCCTTGATGACAATCCTAGCTCGCACTGTAGTTGGTGTTTTCTGTGTTGTGACCCAACGACTAGGGATGACCTTCAAGGTACCTGGGAACCTCTTCTCAAGACTCTGAAGTTCTGAAGCAGTCAACAGATCCCCAGTTTCCATGTGACTCAAATTGTTGACTTCTTTGACCATGCCTTCCATGACCTGATCTCCTGAAAGTTCACCCAAGGTAGAGTCATCAACAGCGGAACTAGGCTTCCAAAGTCTCAAATGCGATCTTTTTCCAAACGGCAAAACAACACTCGTAGAGTTCGGGGCGAACTGAACCGAATCCACAAGCCCTGAAAGCAAAGGGACATAATTGGAAACCTGGAACGCCTGCTCAACAAAACTCGCAAGAGGCATGTGAACATCATTCCCTGTTTCGCAATTGTGGAAGGTAACCATAACTGAAGCAACCCTTTCTTGGTCCTGCCTGATCTCACGCTCCAGATCTTCCAACGGGACTTCAGAGGAGCGTTTCACAGCACTGCTTCCACGAAGCACTTCTTCAGCCTCTAGGCTGCCTCCGCCTTCACTTCCAGTCAACACTGGATCGGCAAACGGCATCTCAGTGTCCTCATCAAGAGCCCCAATGCCCTCAGACTCAGGAGCAGCAGCTCCTTCAAGATTTTCAGGCAGACGCCTGGATGAAGCTTCGTCATCATCGGGCTCCCCAGAAACAGAAAATCTAACACTCAGATGTTGGTTCCTTCGCTTGCAATCAGCATTGTGACGAATGCCAGGAGCATTCATGCCAGACTCGCACGCAGGACAACCATGCGTGAAAACACGACCACTAGGGGCCGCCTCGCTCACAATCCTCGCTGGAGCCTCAGACGAAGCAGCGTCCCCACTGGCCGGGGGAGGCAAAGGACAACCCTGAGCCTCCTCCACAGCTCGGTCTTGCCTCGACTCATCCTCGGCTAGCTCAGAAAGAGCTTCACGCATAGCCTCTGCATCCGAAGCCACAGGCACTTCAACGTCCATGCTGTCATCTGTTGCAACTTGCGACCGCAACCACGCTTCATATCTCAAACAGCAAGCCCGACCGTGAGAAGAGCCCTTCCTAGACCCAAATTGTGCCATGTTAGAACACGCTCGGCACTCACCTGAGAACCCATACCTCTCAAAAAACTCCTTTGGCGGACCGGAAACAGGACACTTCAAAGAGGCACCCTGGGAACTCGGAAGAATCCGAGGCGCAACTGGATGATCTGGCCTCTCAGGCCCAAGCTCACCACGACGACGCAAAACTTCAAACATCCCCGACTCGAAGACAAGCTCAATCGGAAACACAAGCTTGATCGACTTGGCAACAAACACCTTTGGCGTCAAGACCTGGCCCACACGCACATGCGCATACACCAAGCTCCCAAGCGACCCAAATTGCGGGTGAAGAAAAGCTGCCGCCTCAAAACGCGACATATTCGGGCACAAAGCCTTCACAGACTCAGGGACCTCAGCAAGCACCTTGGACCCAAACAACGCAAAAGGGGTATCTGGCAACCTTCGACCAACTGCAACCTCCTTTGGAGAGCGTTCACCGCCAAAAGCTTTGCCATTCGCATTCACACTCATGCACAGGTAAGAAAGTGCAAGCTGCAGCAAGTCTCTCCGAAACGACAAAACGCAACCAAGCGACTGAAAATCACTTTGCGGAGTAGCTAGCCCTTCTTTAAGGACCCGGACTGTCCTTTCCGCACCACCAAGCTGTTCATGAGCTTGTGGCGCAGCCTTGCGCACCATAAAGATGTACTTATCCGACGCACCTGCAACAAACGACTTCACCGCTTCTTCGGAATCTGTCAAAAGCACAATGCTTGCCTGTGAGGACGACAACCCAAACTCAGCAAGCCACTTCAAAAGAAGACCTCTGTCCTTTGCAATGTTCTCAGTTATCATCACAGCCCCAATAGAAGAAGAAAAGGCCTCACGAAGGACGAGGACCTTGAAAGAGCTACTTGTCTGGCGCTCAGCTACGCTGATCGTCTCTCCAGAAGAGTCGAGAAACATAAAATCTGCAACAATCTCTGTTTCCACTCCGCGCTCAGACTTTCGCCTGTGTTGGGTAACACCTCGGGACTTCAGACAATGCTCGCAATCAGGATGGAAGGGCATGTGGCCCTTTGCTCTGTGAATTTCAAGATCTTCCTTGGTCTTCTGCGAAACAACTGCAACATGTCCAATCGAGGAAATTGGAGCAGGATCAACTGAGTCACCCGACGGCAACAAGAGATCACCCTCTGAATGAGGAATCACGCGGATCCAAGGCGTGTCACACCAAATACAGGTATCAATCATATCAACACCCGACTTCACATGACACACAGAAACGCCTTCATCCAAGACAACACGCCAGCCATGCCTTCCAAGAGTTCGCGTTGACAGGATATTGTAAGGAGTGTCACCCACCATCACAGGGATCTTACAGACACCATTCTTGGTAGCTCCACTTGAATCCTTTGTTCGAACCTTTAGCACAACATGGCAACGACCATCAAAGGGAACAGGAGTCCCATTCGCAGCCATAAACGTCGAACCACATGCAGTCAACTCATCATGCGGAAGCGTCTTCAAAGTCACATGGTTGATAACACAGCATGACGCACCTGAGTCAAGCAGCCAAAACTCACTTCCAAGCGACTGACCCAACGACTGCAACAAAGGTTGACACAACTGCTCTTGGAGCACAACAGACACCGACTCGCTGTCTTCACAGACAGCTTCAAAACGCGTATTGGGCTCATCAGTTAACTCAATGACACAAGATAACACAAGAGTGGAGTCCACCTGCTGTGCTTCTTGCTCATCATCTTCCTCGGTGTAAAAAGATTCATCAGCATCTGTGTACCACCAAACCCCCGTTTCCTCATCAAACAGAGCAAACATTTTTCCTTTCTTTCCTCCTTTTCCTTTGCTCTTACCTTTAGGCGAAAAAGAAACTTGACCCTTGGCCGCAGCAGCACCTTTGCCATCAGAACCCTTAGGCCTCGCACTCGACTGAGAAACATCACCCTGCTTGCCCTTGGCACAGTTCAAAGATATGTGGCCCATCTCTCCGCACTTGAAGCACTTAACCTTGGAAAGGTCTGCCGTGCACTGATTCACTTGATGCCCCTTCTTGCCACAACGGTTGCACTTCACACCGCTCCCAGCATCAGAAGGCCTAGCACTCACGCCAAAGACGTGACCATCCATTCCCTCACCTGCCTCAGGCGAACCTGCGCTCTCAGAAAACTCGGTTTCATGCAAGCCAAACAAACCTTTGGCCCCTTGCAACTCAAGAAACAAACGCTGCTGATGTTCCCATCGCAAAGCTGAAGATCGATATGAGGCATATGTCTCACCCTGCGAATGATGTAACGTATACGCCTTTGCGCTCTCAGGCAAAGACCTCATCAAAAGTGTAAGCTGATCACTGTCAGTCAAAGCAAACCCAGCAGCATCTCTAGGATCTAGCGTCGAAAGTAAACGCACAAACCTTGCCACTGCCACCTCAATCTGACGCACTGTGTCAGCAACTGGAGCTGACGAGTCTTGCGCTCGAAACGTTCTTGCCATCAGCATCGCCCTGAGACTCATAGCCTCAGCACGACTTCTCAAAGAAAACTCCTTGGCAAGCTGCCTAAGCAACTCAAAGCCATTACCCATATACGAAAGAGAGTTCCCGAAAACATCTCCCTGCATGGCGACTGCAACAATGTCAAGCCCTTCTCCGAGCTTTGGATCATAAGAGTTATCCGCCCATGATCTGCAAACGCTGCCTTCAGCACACTAAACAAACGAACTCCTCGCGCTTGTTGACTCTTAGACAACGTGTTCCATGCAATCTGTGTAGGCCATCGCGCGGCCTGAGCGATCTCCTTTCCAAACTCAACACTTGCTTGATTCGCCCATGCAACCAACTCGTGAATATAGGCATTCATGCCCAGCACTTCAGATTCACGCCCTTTCCACGCTTGATGATTTGGCGAAGGTGGAGACCCTAGCCACTTCTCACTCGGCTAAAGACGTCTTTGTCTTCACTGCTCCTCGCATTTTCAGCTGGAACACCAGGTAACGTGTTACCTTGATGTCTCACAAAAGCTGGCACATTCAAATCAGGTGGCGACTGCCCCAATCTCTCAGGAACGAACTGTCCACTCACAGGGACATTCAGTCTTTGGCTAAGATCTGCATACAAGGACTGCAACTCACGCGCATTCATGCGATCAAGCAGCTGTCTCCCTGCACTAGCATTATCTCCAGAAACCTGACTGCAACATCCTTGACTCGGAACTGTCGAAAGATTCCTCGCAGGACCCGAAGGCACTGACAAACCTGGAGCTGGCGCCACTGGCCTAATACCAGCACATGCACTCGCAACTGAAGACGTACCGCTCGAAGGTGGACATGGCATGCTAATATGAGACTCCATCGGTCCCATTCCAGCACGCATACGATTTCCGTACAACGCCCAGGGATCTCTCTGAACACCTGTAAACCATGGATCGCTTGACCCAACACCACTCACACCTTCCACACCTGTTTGCCTCCTTTCCTGTTGCCCACACCCAGCTGTACCACACCCATACTCCCCTCCAGCCTCAGCAAGACCTGGACTACACGGAGCTGGCGCCTCAGCACTTGGACCTATAGGCCTTTGAGACATAACACCTTCTTTGGGTCGGCGGAAATGGTGTGGGAGCACAAACAGTGCTCCGCTACCATGTAAAACTTTCAAACCCTGAACAACCCGTCAAGGTCTGCACAGACTTTTGCTCGCGCAACGAAGTGTTCAGCTGTTCTTGCACTGCACTGCTGTCACCTAAAGCTTTAAGCTTTGCTTTCTGCTTTCATGGGCCTCAGAACAAGTTTCATCACTGGCCCATTCTCAACGAGCTTCAGTCTCAAAGCTTTCCAGCCTTGAGCCACACATAAACGCGGCTTTCCAGATTCACATGTGCTTCAGCACATGACCAAAACAAAACTTCGCTTCAAAAAAGCATGCCGTCACAGCTTCTATACACGCTCCACGCTGGCAAAACAAACTCGCATACACTACTGCCATTCGAGAAGGCACCTTGAAGCCTTCGAGAACTCATGCGGACTCTAATCAAACTAACGGCTCACAGCATTCACTCAGCTCACTCAAAAGCTCAAGCAACTCATGCCGTCGAAAACTCGCAGCTGAAAACCAAGGTTCCATGCCATGAAAATCGCAGCTTCCAGTGAAAACTTTCCAGTGCTTGGTGAAAACCTTAGCTCAAGCCAAATCAAAGTCGCAGGCAACGTCAGTTCCGAGGATTGGAACGCTCGGCACCTTGGGGGCGAGAATGCGTTGCCTGAGTGCAACAAATGGGCTGGTGTTGAGTTGGGAGGTGCTAGGAAGTGAGAAGCATTTGCGGCTGCCTTTACAGCTGTAGAAAAGGCCTTACAAGGTGTTCTTCCGCGGCGAAGTGGCACCGAGACCGCGGCGCAGGTAGCGCCCATCCGACTTTGATACACGAGAAACTGCTCAAGGCGAGGTCCCAACGGCAAATATGGTCATGTTGCGGGGAGGCCCCAAGCAAAGCGGGCCACTCGCGGGTTTTACCCTTGACCTTGTCAGGAACAACCAGTTTTAACGAAAACCGCCAGGAGGTTCCCTTGACGGAAACTCTATCCGCAGAAGACAACCTTCGGGGGCCGATTGCCACTTGACGATGCGAAAACCGCCAGTGTCCGAGGAAGACGTAAAAGATTGCTTTCCTCGGCAGGGCTGCCCCTGGAAGGCTCATCAGGATAAGTCTCGGCAATAGTGGGTAACAAGTTCGATGAGAACGTCACTGGGTAGGCCATCTTGAGAGCCCGAGATCTTGAACCGCCGTTTGGACGAGGAGGAAGCCAGACGGAAAGCCGACGAGGATCGGCGAAAGGTGTCTTCGGACCCCTTTGCAGCTGCAGTGGCTGCTAGCAGTTCGGGAGCAGCGCCGACGGCGCCTACTGGGTCGCTTGTTGCCCCTCCGAGTGGGCCTGCTGCGAGTTCTGGAAGTTTTTCGAGTTTTGGTGGTCGTGCAGAGAAGTATCTGCCACCCCTGCCTCTCATCAATGCTGGTGAGATGAAGCAAGGCCGGATCCGCGAGCTTGAGGAGTTCCACCGCTTTCTGGAAGTGCTGTCCAGCTGGCTAGCATTGACCGATGACGCCTTTGTTGGCGAGCTAAGGCAGTGCTTGTTTGTTGCTGGTGAGATCCAGCAGGTTACTTTGTCCAGTGACACTGCGGGAAGAAGTGCACGTCTTTTTTACCTGTTGCAGCAAGCTTTGGCAAAGTGGGACAGAGGATTGGAGATCCTCCGGAGTGTTTCGACACGCCAGAGCAATGCAGCTGCAGGATATACATGCGATCCTACCAGGGAAGGTTGGTGGTCTTCCCTCCATGCCCGACTCCACCAGTTCAGTTCCTCACATGATGTCGTAATACTCGGTGACTTCAACGTGCACTTCACTATTCCTGTGCCGGGACGGATTGGGTCCCTCGTTATGCCGGGGCACGGGAAATTCCCCGAAGGTTTGCACAAAATCCTCCGATCTCAAGACCTTTGGGCCCCTTCTACATTCACAGACGTGCATGTCGGCCCCTCTTTGACCTGGCTTGCACCTTCCGGCGGACCTGGCTCGCGCATTGATTTTGTGCTAGTGCCCAGTTCGTGGATCGTCGGTCCTGGAGGATCATGCGTCCAGCTAGACCTTGATTGGGGACAGGGGCACACTGATCATTATGCAGCTCAAGTTGACGCTTCAGCCATAATCCGTGCCCCTTCCCTGTCTGCGCCTCCTTCAAGGATAGATCGCGAGGCTATGAGGGTGTGAGAGAGCTGTACCGGCAGTACTCTGTGAACAGCCGCATGGAGGCGGTGTATATCAGAGACGAAATGCTAAAGCTCCACACAAAGACTGCAGCGCTGAAGCGCCCTCTGGAAGTTGTGCGCGTTTTCTCGAGGACGAAATCTCCAAGGGAGATAAAAAGCTGGTGCGTTTTCCCGACCTCTGCTTGAACGCCGCCGACAGATCGGCCATTTTGCTGCAAGCTGTGTCAGTGCAAGCCAGAGAGTACTTGGTGCTGCATGGCAAGACTGGCAGTTGGACCGAGATGGCGGAGAGTCTTCGTTTCTACGAGGAGCAGTTGCGCATGGTGGAGCTGCCAAGTGGTGGTTTGCGCGGTCTCAAAGGAGACAAAGGCGGGAAAGACGGCAAAGGCGCGAAAGGAGGAAAAGCCGGCGGTGCCAAGGACAAGTCCCAGATTGTCTGCTGGTACTGCGAGAAGAAAGGGCACTATCAAGAAGAGTGCCGCCAGAGGATCGCAGATGAGAAGAAGCAGGGCAAAGGCGACAAGAGCAACAAGCCCAAGGGCAAAGGCCAGGGCGACAAAGACAAAGGAAAGGGCAAAGAGAAAGGCAAAGGCAAGCATGGCAAGGATAAGGGCAAGGACAAGAAGACCAAGAAGCAGCACGCCCGTGCTGTAGCGGATGGCGAAGCAGAAGAGGAGCCGGAGGGAGAGACTGTGATGGCCCTTCGCGCTTCTGGCGAGTTGATTCCGGTTGATGCCCGTGGTGGCGTCTTGAGGACGACTCCTTCGACACCTGAGGTGCCTGCTGCGGCGCACCGTGTGACCGTTGAGCACAGAGTGTGCTTAGTTGGCATTGAGTCGCAAGATAGCTACTGGCTAGTGGATAGCGGTGCTACTTCTCATTGCATGTCGGTCTCCTGCTTCGAGAAGTATGAAGTCCTTCGCACTTATGATTTTAAGCCCACGCTGTCGAATGCCTCCAACGACATGATTGAAGTGTTGAAGGTGTGTGACGTTCGCGTTCGTTTTGGGAAGCTTGTGGTGCTAGAGCATTGCTTGATCACGAACTTAGATTTCAATGTCTTGTCACCGTTTGTGGCTTGGCAGAGAGGATGGCACACCATGCTCACCAACACACCTCATATTTTCAACAAGAAGAACAAGAAACGCATTCGGTTGACTGTCAAGGATCGCGCTTGGTACGCGGTTGCTGCTTTGAAGGATTCTGGGGATAAGATGGAGGTTGATGCTTTGAAGCCCTCGTCGTCCCCGAAAGCAACGGAAAAGCCTGAAACCACGAAACCCCCGAAAGCCACGGAAAAGCCTGAAACCGCGAAACCCCCGAAAGCCACGAAAGCCCAGAAAGCCCAGAAAGCTCAGGAGCAAAGGTCTTTGGAGTCTGTGAAGAGCCTAGAGTACACGCCTTTTAAGTTTCTGCTGAGGAGCTTGAGGACGCACGGTGGTAGTGCCGTTTCGGTCTGTGAGGGTGCTGCTCTGGAGTCTCTTGAACGCTGTGAGCTTGACCGCTTTGGCTGTGGTAGCAGAAGTGGCAAGAAAGATTCTGAGGCTCAGCCGTCGTGGACCGCTGGGTCGATGATGATAAGTGTTGTGAGCTTGTGGTGCATGGCTTGCGTTGGCGTGCTGTGCTCCCTGTGGACCTTAGTGAGTGAGTGTGCTTGCGAGGTTTCAGGGTTAGGGTTTCTTCAGGATTTGCGAGGCGGTTCCCTGCGGAGGCTGCAAGGTAGTGCAGTGCGTGTCGTGAGGGAGTGTGCGTG